TGGAAAACTTTCTTGGTTCATATTTCGAGCTGTAAAAATATTAACAAAACTTTCGACGCTTATATTTCATCGGAAAGTTTATTTTCTAGCTTCATGCTTAAAAAAATATTGCAAAATCCATTTTTTAATAATGTACTGTACTATTAATGTTACTTGTCCAGTTATAAACAATCTGGGTTTCATAGATTTCTTAAAGAAATTTTAAAGGAGATTTAAATACTTAAATTTATAATTTTAAAGGAGATATGTAATACGCATCAGCTGTACATACTAGGTAATTTTTTAGAGCCATTACCGATAGTTAACGTTGATCTGTCGTTGCGAAAATAATAGCTTATCAACTTATGTATGGTGAAGTGCCTCAATGACATGCTACTTATGATGATTGCATTATTATCGGTGCAGAGTAACAAAGAAAAGCCAATAGAAAATAATCAGCTTAACCTACAGAAAACGATCTTACCGATATAAAAATTCACCGATACAAAATTCTAGTAAGCTTTAAAACACTTCGTCCAAGTCCTTAAAATAATGCATGTCCAATTACGACTGATACACATGATTGCACAAATGTATAATAATACACCCGCTGACGCCACCTTAAACGATGACTAACCTTTCTCTACATGTGCGTGTAATCCTTCCTGTTTGATCTTTCTCAATGATTCTCTTACAAACGCAATTTGATCAAAAATATCTGGAAAGACATCCTGTTTCTTCCGGTTCGAGATGTCGATAGACTTCGGAAAATATTAATTATTATCATTTAAAGAAGCGAGTTATTTTAGGCGACTAGTTTAACCGTCGACCTTGTATCACAAAGTCAAACGGACTCGAAGGAACTGCGTCAACGGACGCGGCTCGTTGCAGCTGCACATATGCAGCTCACGAAACACTGCCGAACGAACACGTTTATCAACACGCTCCCTCGGACCGATTCACATTTATGATGCAATCAAATTTTAGCACTTTTTAAATTATGTTCAATATTGGAAAAACTATTAAATTTCAGGGACACTCATATTCTCAACTTTAATGAGCTAAAAGGTTCATATAGTGCTGCACATCAAATGCAGAATTTGGAAATATAGCTGACTCTCAAAATATTTGATATAGTCAATATAATGCGCGGAAGTGGGCGTGATGTTACAGCGCGTGAAGATATAACGCGTGACGATATAACAATTGGCAGTGCAACAATGTATAATAATATGTGGCGATATAGTATACAGCGGAATAATTCTTGACTACATAATAACAAGTAGTGATACATAACACGTACATAACATGATATATAACACGTAGTGATATATCGTACATAACTATGTAGCACGTGACGAAAAAATGCGTGACAAATCAGCACATAATTACATAATAACGCGTAGTAATGATATGGTGCGTGGTAATATAATGCGACGGCATCCAATGCGTGGTAATATTACGCGTGGCAATATAACGCGTGGGAATCCAACGCATGGTAATCCAATGCGTGGTAATACAACGCATGGTAATCCAACACGTGGTAATACAACGCGTGGTAATCCAACGCGTGGTAATACAGTGCGTGGTAATCCAACGCGTGGTGATAGAACGCGTGGTGATACAACGCGTGGCGATACAACGCGTGGTAATCCAACGCGTGGTGATAGAACGCGTGGTAATACAACGCGTGGCGATACAACGCGTGGTAATCCAACGCGTGGTAATCCAACGCGTGGTAATATAACGCGTGGTAATACAATGCGTGGTAATACAATGCGCGGTAATCCAACGCATGGTAATCCAACGCGTAGTAACCCAACGCGTGGTAACCCAACGCGTGGTAATCCAACGCGTGGTGATATACCACATGGCGATATAACGCGCGGTAACCCAACGCGTGGTGATATACCACATGGCGATATTACACGTGATAATATGGCATCTGGCAATCTGACCTACGGCGACATATCAGATGGCAATATACCAAACGTGATAATACAACAGAAAGATGTATATGTGACAATATAATAAACGCTGGTCAATATAACGCGCAAAATGTGTAACGATATAATAACACGTTGCGATATAACGCATAATGTTCGGTGTTTGATAGAAGATTGCCACCTATTTCTTTATATTACAGTAATCAATTCCCACAATGAACAACGGTCGAGATAATGGCGCTACTATCGATTATCGATATATTGTCGCTGTTCTGTCGATATAAATTAAACGACGTGCCAGTGATATATGACATCATTAATCCTTCCTAAGACATCATTAAAGTTAATGCGCGTGACTGAAACAACATACACGTGATTTTCGAATCTATTTATTCTTTAAACTTCAACCTTGACTGATATAGTGTTTACGCGATATTTAAAAAATAAACGGGGATATGTCATAGGTTGCATTTGTTACTTTATTCAAAGAGTAATTAAATATTTCTGGACAAAAAAAAATAGGTTTTGCATGTTTCTTGCGAACTACGTTTTCAAGTTTCTTATAAACCTGTTATAAAGTTATACAATTATCAAACTTATTAGGAAAGATAAATATATCCTGATTCCTGGCTACGAGACTGTACAGTACAAGATTTAAGAGCGAAAGGAGAAGATCGCGTAGGACGTATGTATGCCGACGTTTGGCAAAACTGGCAGAATCTATAATGAGCCATCAAGTTTTGAAGCACTTGTAAAAGCGGAATAGCAATGCGATCGGGTCAAGGTGATCCTCGCTGTTTCAATGGAACCTGAACTTTACGGAGGCTGAGCTTGCGAAACAAAATGTTACATAAAGTCATTCACTGTACCAAAAATAGAAATGTGTCGCGCGATTAAATCCATCGCGACGGAAATAAACGGCGAGACAATGAGGGAATCTTAAAATAAAATTAAGAATGTAAACTCCAGTAAAAAAATATGTATACGAAACAAAAATAGATGAACCGCAATTCTTCTTCACTTTCATTCTTGAACTTGATGCAATTTGAAGGTTTTGTTAATTAATTAAAAAAGTTCAGTGAATCGATTTGTTTTATATCGCGGTGTATCACTAGGCTTTGTATTACCATGCGTTGTATTACCACGCATTATATCACCACGCGTTATATAACTACGCGTTGTATCACCATGCGTTATATTACTACGCGTTGGATTATCACGCGTTGTATTACCACGCGTTGGATTACCATGCGTTGGATTA